GCCGCGGCGGCGGGAGGTGCCGCCCGTCCCGTCCCGCCGGTGGGCGCCGTAGGGGCGGGTGAGGGCAGGAGGAGGCGGTGCCGGCGGCGGGGGCACCCGCGCAACTTGCGCGCCCTCAAGCCCGTCGCGGCCGCAGCCCCGGCGCTCGGCAGCGACTTGGGCGCAAAACCCGCGGGTTTCGGAAAGCGCAGAGGGAGAGGCGTCTCCTTTGGCGCTGCCGCCTCGGGGTAAATTGCCTGGAATATTGGGCTGGAATAAGGGAAAACACGTTTTTTCTGCTCTTTTCACCCACTGCCCCCAGCAGCGTGTTTCCTCGGAAGGAAGGCACGTTCCTCCAGGGTTGTCTTCGTTACATGATTAGTGCTTCTATTTATGCACCCTCTTCAGTAATTTCGTTTCAGAACAAGCACATGCCCCACCAAGAACAGAGTTGGAAGCGCTGGTACAGTGTCCATGGATAAGCCCTCCAGCGCACTTGCCGTGTGCGTGTTCTGCTCATCACCCCCTGTCTCAGGGAGAGAGGATGTTTCGATTGAAGGAGACAGACTTACAAGTTGCTATTACACAAAAAAGCACAGCACGTTAAATGTGCAGGTCCTGTCACTACAGAAGCTGTTTCTCAATACCTGGAGCCTGAGCACTCATATCTTTGAAATAGGAAGTGTGGTGACCCTCGCGTGGTGGCCGGTGGCCAGCCCTGAGGTCCCACGGTAGGCTGCAACACACCGCACGGATGGGAGCTTCCCCAGAAGTAAAAGGACAGAGTGAGCTGTCCTGCTATAGCCAGAGGGATTAGGGCTTTTCTTAACACATTTGTGAACGTGTTTTCCCAAGTGATTCCCTTTTTTAAGAAAAAAGCTTTTTAGCTCCATATTTACCAGGGAAGAAGATGTGTGAACTTTTGGAATAATCGATTCTCCTATAAACTTGAGAAAACAAACAGCCAGGACAGTTTAACCCAAAGCTATCCCGAGTTACACATATCCAAACTTCATTTTCTGATTGCAGTATACTTATTTTTATATTCATTATTTTTGAGAGAGAAAAGTATTTTTATAATTCCAATCAAGTATGTATTAAGGTTCTTGTAGTTAATTAAACATTTCAAGGTGTTTGCGGTGTTGCTCCAAATATCTTTCGGATACCTTTGCATATGGTATTTTACAACTTGTTTAATTTTAGTAGTATCATTTAAGTGATTTCTATGCTGGGAAATGCAGTGCTGATTTACTTTCTGTTGTTGTTTCTCTTTGTATTGGGGTGGAGTTGAAAGCACTCAACCACTTAATCAGATTCATCCCTGGCTGCATTAGGCATAAATTTACCCATTATATTTGCTCTTCATTGGGATGATAGCAAAGGGATGGGGAAATATAGAATAAAAGAAGGATGGCTAAAGCTTTTTATTTGATCTGCTTATCTACTGAGATTACATTATTCTAATAAACAACTATTATGTCAATTAAAACATGTTCCTTCTAATCATGATAAAAGAAGGAAGGAAAACAGTATATTTTGATGGCATATCTGTAGGACACTTATTTGAGTTGGATGTGAGTAGGACACTTAGTGAGTAGGACACTTATTACTTAGTTGGAAGCGATGGTCATCGTAATTCTCCACAGACATATAGATCACTAAGGAGCAGTTCTGTTACAATCATTTTTATTTTACTCCACTCAACTTCACATCAAATATTCCCTAGCACTCTAAGACTCAGACTTCAAGTGACCTTCTCAATCTAGGCTTGAAAATTGGGCCTGAATGAGAGATCCAGGGGGGGCAATAATAAAATGGCTAAGACACCAGGCACCAAGGAGAGTCTAGCACTGCCCAATGCTTTGAACCAGCCACTTGAGTGATGGGACTGCTCTTTGATATATTTAAAACCACTCATGGTGTTTATATCAAATGGCTATTTTTAAAAGGTCAAATAATGCAATAAATGTAAAACCAGATTATAAACAATATTATTCTTTGCAGCAGTATGGCAAGATCCAAAGGTCATCCTTAAAGGCAGGCTTCCGAGCGAGCCTGCGGCGAGACTCAGACATCCAGTATCAGACCTGAAAAGCTGTGGGAGAGTTTGTGGGTGGGGGAAGAGGCTCAGCTGTGGCAAACGCTCTGTGTGGAGGGTGGGAAGGCACCTGGCAGGAGGAAGGGGCAGCAGAAAGTGCAGGATTTGTT